AAAGTCCAATCGAAAGTTATTGGCAGTCTTACCTACTTGCCTTACCATTTTCATCCGTTACCATGTTTTTCCTTTATTTTCAGATATAAGACGATTTAAAAAAAAACAAGAGATAGAAAGAAGGATTGTATGGTTATTTTGTTCTACTCATCAAGACCTATAAACTCATCGGACAGTCCAATCAAAAGTTATTGGCAGTCTTAGCTACTTGTCTCACCATTTTCATCCGTTACCATGTTTTTCCTTTATTTTCAGATATAAGACGGTTTTAAAAAAAACAACAAGAAATAGAAAGAAGGATTGTATGGCAACTTTGTTCTACTCATCAAGACCTATAAACTCAGAAAGTATGGTTTAGATCGGACAGTCCAATCAAAAGTTATTGGCAGTCTTAGCTACTTGTCTTACCATTTTCATCCGTTTCCATGTTTTTCCTTTATTTTCAGATATAAGACGGTTTTGAAAAAACTACAAGAGATAGAAAGAAGGATTGTATGGCAATTTTGTTTTACTCATCAAGACCTGTTGATGAATCTAAATTTTTGTTAACTGGTCATGTGAAATACCAGCTTCGCCCATTTTTAGTATTTTTAGGTATCTTCTGTGCTGCGTGACACGATGGAGATTTTTCGGTTTCTTTATTAAGTAATGAGACTACAGCGGAACATGTTGGCTCAATAAAGTTTAACTCAAAATATACAGTCCATTCAAATCGGAAATAAACCGTGTTTATTCATCACCATATCTTTGGACCTTCTAGCCAAATTTAGCTTTGATTAACATGGATCATTTCAAGCTTGCAAAGGCAGCAAGAAGTCGTGCGAAGGCAAGCATTACGCGTTTGCTAACGGCGTCACAAGATCCACGTGCGGGATCAAACTGGGAACTGGACATCGTCTCATTGGAAAGGCTCAACAACGTTTGGAAGGAGTTTGAGACCATTAGCGATCAAATGGCTCTTTATGATGAAGAAGAGGGGTACATCGATCCAGCCATCGACAACGAGAGGTACGAGGATAAGTACATGCAAGCAAACACCTTGTTTCACACCATTAAACGGCGCTGTCAGTCATCCAATGAGGGCGACAGAGAAGGCAGCAACGGTAGGCAATCTGGCAACCTTGACGATGCCGCCTTGCTCGTTTTCTACAACAACAGCAGGAGCTGAATGAGCGTTTAGCTGGGCAGCAATCAACATTTTTGTGAGCAAACTCCGCAGCAAATGTAATGCACAACGAGCTACCAAAAATCCACATCAAGGTGTTTTTTGGTGACTACAAAGAGTGGCCAGCGCTTAAAAACATCATCGAGAGTACGATCCACAGCAAACAGCATTTAACAGCAATACAAAAGTTCCTTTACTTAAAAACGTACATTACTGGGGAAGCAGCGGACTTGATTCGTCATATGCCAATAACGGATGCTGCTTATGAGGCTGCTTGGAGTTGCCTAACTGAGCGATACAACAGACCACGTCACATTGTCAACACTCTACTGGAAACGTTTGTAAATCTCCTTTCGACATCCAGGGCAGATGTTGCAGTTCTGCGCAAGGTTACCGACGGAGCCACGGAGATTGTACGAGGATTGGATGCAGCAGGGCAAACTAACAGGGACTGCTGGATCATACACTTCATTCTGGCCAAAATCGACGCTGAAACTCGACGCAAATGGATTGAGGGAAGCCGGGAACTTGAATCTCCGTCTGTGGATGATTTACTCAAGTTCTTAGACCGACGCGGCGAGGAATTCGAGTTCAGCAGTTTAGCCCATTTACCATTAAATTACAATATTCTACATATTTTAAATAATTTACGATTCCAAAACTCCACTTTTGGCATATCTTTCTTATGTAGTAATTAATAACCAAATCCACGTAATAAGAAGCGAATCATTTTAGCTACAAGAAAAATTAGAGCTTTTTAACAGGTTAAACCTCCTTTAGCAGTTTCAAATTTTGTTTATGTAGCTTTAAATCAATTCCTAACTATTTAAGAATATCTTCACAACATTATTCAGTTTTATTCAAAATATTTCGAAAGATTTGAAGGAACGCGCGATCCATTTTGTAGGAATAGGCTTGGTTGGAATACTTTGAGCCATTTTTTATCTTAAGACTTATGGTAGTTCTCATTTATTCTTATGGTATAGCTCATTTGAAAGGTAATTCGTTTCTTTATGGCATTTCTTATTAAAGATAGTTCCTTATATAGTCAATAAATATATTGAAGCAAACAAAAAAATAGCAGCTAACCTATATTCAGAATACAATTTTATATTTATATGTACAATGCAATTTTAGAATTATCTTGATTTCCTATGTAAAATTTATGCACATATCACAGCAGGCCTATACTTTTTCCTTTCTAGAGAAAACCCATTTTTTTACTTTTATTTAACAGTAGTCTTTCAGAAACCTTTAAGGTGACTGTTAACTTAAAAGGGTCTCACCGAGTGGTTATGGAAAGACCGATTGCTTTGTTCGGTTGAGCCGAACGGTCGGACCGAAACCGACAAGCAAAACTAAAAAACGGTTCCGCTCAGAGAGAGAGTTTGTGAGCAACAATTTTTTCGGTTTTGTCGAGATTAAACTGCCTCAAGAAAATCGGTTGACAGTTATTTGCAAGCTCTGCTATAAACTCAGAAAGTATGGCTTAAATCGGACAGTCCAATCAAAAGTTATTGGCAGTCTTGGCTACTTGTCTTATCATTTTCATCCGTTACCATGTTTTTTCTTTATTTTCAGATATAAGTCGGTTTTGAAAAACTACAAGAGATAGAAAGAAGGATTGTATGGCAACTTTGTTATACTTTTCAAGACCTATAAACTCAGAAAGTATGCTTTAAATCGGACATTCCAATCAAAAGTTATTGGCAGTCTTAGCTACTTGTCTTACCATTTTCATACGTTACCATGTTTATACCCTTGTAGAGGGTATTATAATTTCAGTCAGATGTTTGCAACGCAGTGAAGGAGACGTTTCCGACCACATAAAGTATATATATTCTTAATCAGCACCAATAGCCGAATCTATCTAGCCATGTCCGTCTGTCCGTTTCTATGCGAACTAGTCTCTCAGTTTTAAAGCTATCGCGATGAAACTTTCCCGAAGGTCTTCTTTCTATTGCAGGTAGTACATATGTCGGAGCGAGCCGGATCGGACCACTATATCTTAAGGCTCCCAAACAAATATAAGAAAATTCATTGTAACTTTGTAGGAAGTAGGCGTTTTGATTCTTGATTACTTAAAAACAAAATTGAAATAAATCGAAACGCTGAATCTGGAATCCCTGGAACTACACCGAGTGAGTATTCTTTTATCTACAAGGGTATATAAGCTTCGGCTGGCCGAAGGTAGCTTCCTTTCTTGTTTTTCTTTATTTTCAGATATAAGAAGTTTTTATTTCCATGTTCTTCCTTTATTTTTAGATATAAGATGGTTTTGAAAAAATTACAAGAGATAGAAAGAAGGATTGTATGGCAACTTTGTTCTACTCATAAAGACTTATAAACTCAGAAAGTATGGCTTTAATCGGACATTCCAATCAAAAGTTATTGGCAGTCCTAGCTGCTTGTCTTACCATTTTCATCCGCTTCCATGTTTTTCCTTTATTTTCAGATATAAGACGGTTTTGAAAAAACTACAAGAGATAGAAAGAAGGATTGTATGGCAACTTTGTTCTGCTCATCAAGACCTATAAACTTAGCAATTATGGCTTAAATCTGACATTCCAATCAAAAGTTATTGGCCGTCTTACCTACTTGTCTTACCATTTTCATCCGTTACCATGTTTTTTCTTTATTTTCAGATATAAGAAGTTTTTAAAAAAAACTACAAGAGATAAAAAGAAGGATTAAATGGCAATTTTGTTCTACTTATCAAGACCTATAAACTCAGCAAGTATGGTTTAAATCGGACAGTCCAATCAAAAGTTATTGGCAGTCTTAGCTACTTGTCTTACCATTTTCATCCGTTTCCATGTTCTTCCTTTATTTTCAGATATAAGATGGTTTTGAAAAAATTACAAGAGATAGAAAGAAGGATTGTATGGCAACTTTGTTCTACTCATAAAGACTTATAAACTCAGAAAGTATGGCTTAAATCGGACATTCCAATCAAAAGTTATTGGCAGTCCTAGCTACTTGTCTTACCATTTTCATCCGTTTCCATGTTTTTCCTTTATTTTCAGATATAAGACGGTTTTGAAAAAACTACAAGAGATAGAAAGAGGGATTGTATGGCAACTTTGTTTTACTCATCAAGACCTGTTGATGAACGGATTGCATCCATAATTTGAATCTAAATTTTTGTTAACTGGTCATGTGAAATACCAGCTTCGCCCATTTTTAGTATTTTTAGGTATCTTCTGTGCTGCGTGACACGATGAGATTTTTTCGGTTTCTTTACTAAGTAATGAGTCTACAGCGGAACATGTTGGCTCAATAAAGTTTAACTCAAAATATACAGTCCATTCAAATCGGAAATAAACCGTGTTTATTCATCACCATATCTTTGGACCTTCTACCCAAATTTAGCTTTGATTAACATGGATCATTTCAAGCTTTCAAAGGCAGCAAGAAGTCGTGCGAAGGCAAGCATTACGCGTTTGCTAACGGCGTCACAAGATCCACGTGCGGGATCAAACTGGGAACTGGACGAAATCATCGTCTCATTGGAAAGGCTCAACAACGTTTGGAAGGAGTTTGAGACCATTAGCGATCAAATGGCTCTTTATGGTGAAGAAGAGGGGTACATCGATCCAGCCATCGACAACGAGAGGTACGAGGATAAGTACATGCAAGCAAACACCTTGTTTCACACCATTAAACGGCGCTGTCAGTCATCCAATGAGGGCGACAGAGAAGGCAGCGACGGTAGGCAATCTGGCAACCTTGACGATGCCGCCTTGCTCGTTTTCTACAACAACAGCAGGAGCTGAATGAGCGTTTAGCTGGGCAGCAATCAACATTTTTGTGAGCAAACTCCGCAGCAAATGTAATGCACAACGAGCTACCAAAAATCCACATCAAGGTGTTTTCTGGTGACTACAAAGAGTGGCCAGCGCTTAAAAACATCTTCGAGAGTACGATCCACAGCAAACAGCATTTAACAGCAATACAAAAGTTCCTTTACTTAAAAACGTACATTACTGGGGAAGCAGCGGACTTGATTCGTCATATGCCAATAACGGATGCTGCTTATGAGGCTGCTTGGAGTTGCCTAACTGAGCGATACAACAGACCACGTCACATTGTCAACACTCTACTGGAAACGTTTGTGAATCTCCTTTCGACATCCAGGGCAGATGTTGCAGTTCTGCGCAAGGTTACCGACGGAGCCACGGAGATTGTACGAGGATTGGATGCAGCAGGGCAAACTAACAGGGACTGCTGGATCATACACTTCATTCTGGCCAAAATCGACGCTGAAACTCGACGCAAATGGATTGAGGGAAGCCGGGAACTTGAATCTCCGTCTGTGGATGATTTACTCAAGTTTGGCGCACCACAACTGAGCAAAGCAAAGCGTTCGTCCCATGCCTTAGTATCGATGGAAGATAATGCTTGTGTGAAATGTAACTCTAAGGAGCACAAGATCTACGGTTGCCCATTAGCATTAATCGACCAGAGACGCACATTTGTAAAGACAAAATCCTTGTGTTTCAACTGTCTTAAGCTTGGGCATATATCACGCAAGTGTGAATCCAAATTCACATGCAAGATTTGCCATAATCGCCATCACTCGCTGCTACATGCAGATATTCCTGGATCGCCAGCCGCTGTGACCACGACACAGCCACATACTGATGAAAGGCACGTCTCAAGCGCTCCCGAAGATGCTACGGTGACCATCAGCCATATTACTCGCGCGCAAGCGGGTCCCACAGCTGAGTCCTTGTGCAACGGATCAACAACGGCTACACAGCCCCAAGGGCTAAGGAAAAGTGCATTGCCAACAGCTCTGGTATTTGAAAAAACCGCAAAGGGATCGCACATTACATGTCGGGTACTTTTGGATAGTGGTTCGGAACTGTCGTACATCTCAGAGAGGTGCGTACAGGCACTTGGTCTGGCACGCTCGCCCTCACGCATTGTAGTGTCTGGAATTTCATTGATCAAGGCGGAGATAACTAGAGGCTGCAGCACACTGGACATGCAGTCAAGAATCTCAGATCACACAATGAAGGTACACGCACACGTACTCAGCAAAATTACTCCCACGTTAGCAAGACACGATATCGAGGCCTCAGCACTCAAGGCATTTGCTGGCTTTGAGCTTGCGGATTCTGATTATTAATCGTTGGCACCAGTCGATATTCTTTTGGGCAGCGATTACTTTTGGACCGTGTTCACCGGTCAAAAGATGTTCGACATCCAGGGCAACATCATCGTCATATCGACCATTTTTGGATGGGTCATAACATCTATCGTTACTACCGGCTGTTCATCTACAACAACAATGCACTCGGCTATTGACATTGACTCAACGCTTCGGCGCTTTTGGAAGCTGGAGGATGTCAACCAGGAATTCCATGGGAAACCAGAGGACGATGAAGTTGAACAGCACTTTATGAAAACGCACACTCGGGACTCCAAGGGGCGTTACATAGTCGAACTTCCGTTCAAAAACTCCAACGAACAGTTTTCGGATACATTACAAGGAGCACTGGCAAGATTCAGGTGTGTAGAACGCCGCCTAAAGAAGGACCCCGATCTGCACTCACAGTATGTACAATTTATGCGTGAACACCTTCAGTTAGGACACATGCGGGAATTATCGCCAGGAGACATTGACAAAGGGAAAAGCTTTTACTTGCCTCATCATCCAGTAATTACCCAAAAGCTAAGGGTAGTATTTGACGGCTCATTCAAGGATACGAATGGAAAATCCTTAAACGATGCTCTACACATTGGACCCAGCATTCTCCGAAACCTCTTCTGATTTGTATGCGTTTCAGAATGTTCAAGTTCGTCTTTTCTGCAGATATTGTCAAAATGTATCGACAAATCTTGGTGGCTGCCAACCATTGTAGCTATCAGCGTATTGTTTGAAGAGAAGATGACACCTATCAAGCACTATGAGCTTTCCACGGTTACATATGGCACATCTAGTGCACCATTCTTGTCAGTAAGAGTCCTGGATCAGTTAGCTAACGACCACCAACACGAGTTTCCCACCGCTGCAAGGATCTTAAAGGAGCAGTTTTATGTGGACGACGTACTGACGGGAGCACCTACAGAGGAGGAGCTAATTCACAATCAAAAAGAGCTGATCCAATTAATGAAATGTGCAGGCATGGAACTTGGCAAATGGGTTTCAAATTCATCATGTATAGCTGATCGAGCTACTTCTACAACCGAGGTACAAGGCAAAGGATCCACTTCTACAGCAAAGGATCTTGTCATTCATTGGGATCCAGAAGAGGATACGTTATCCTACAAAGTTTGCCTTGCACCGAATCCGGACAACACCAAGCGCCAAGTGCTGTCTGGCGTGGCACGGATCTTTGACCCGCTGGGTATTTTGTCGCCAGTGGTGATGCAGTTTAAAATTCTGTTCCAAGAATTGTGGTTACTGGAGCTTCCTCCAAAAATTGCTGACTGGTGGAACAAAAGCCGTAACGACCTACACATACTTCAAGAAATACGCCTGCCGCGATTTGTCGAAAACAATGGCGATCACATCGAACTGCATGGGTTCTCAGATGCCTCCATCAAGGCATATTCCGCAGTCATCTACTGCAGAGTGGTGCGAGCAGATGGCACCGTATCGGTTTCACTCATAGCAGGAAAAACCAGAGTTGCTCCACTAAAGCAGCAATCCCTACCGGGCCTCGAGCTGTGTGGCGCTTTGCTACTGAGCAGACTAATCCTATCTTTTTTTTTTTCGCGCGGAGTCCCACGCCACACCTCCCGCCCAACCGACCGAGGGGCGCTGCCGTGTATAGTACGGCACGATTCGCGAGATGATAGACGCGATGTAGAAAATATAAGTATAGTTCGAGGAAAAAAAAGTAGGATCTAATTCTGTGCTAGGAAATTTAATATTAATCGTTTTAGGAGAGGCAGATAGTCAGAATTTGATATAATAGGATAAAGTCTATTATAGTCAGAACATAGTACTCTGAAAGGTTCATGCATGTCATAGTTAGATCTACAGTGGTTTAAAATTAAGGGAATGTAATTTCTAGTTAATCTACTTGGAACAAAAAAGTTAAGTCGTCCAACCAAGTCGGGGCTATAAATTTCACCTCGAATAAGGTTATAAATGAAGGCAGTTCCAAGCATCGTTCTACGGTTGGTTAGGGAATTCTACTAGAATAAGAAGGTAAAATGCGGTTTGCATCCCAGTTTAGGCGCCTTAAGGCAAAAAGTAAAAAGTTCTTTTGTACGGATTCGATACAGTCAATATGAATTCCGTATTGGGGACTCCAGACGGGTGATCCATACTCAAGTATCGGCCGGACGAGCGAGATGAATAAGGTCTTAGTAATATAAGGATCATCAAATTCCTTAGACCACCTTTTAATAAAGCCAAGCGCACCCCTAGCTTTATTTACCATGGATGAAATGTGATCAGTGAACTTTAGTCTTGGGTCCAAAAGAACACCAAGATCGTTGACTAGGTCTAATCTGTCCAGAGTGCTCTCACTCAGCGTGTAAATCGCATATTGAGGAGTAACACGACAAAAAGTCATCATCTTACACTTAGAGCCATTTAAATTCAGCGAATTGTCGGAGCACCATGTTTGGAAACTATTTAAATAGGATTGTAAATCAGACTGGCAAAAAGTATCCTTGTACTGCAGGCATAATTTCACATCATCAGCGTACATAAGTACACGAGAATGACTTATAACTGATGAAAGGGCGTTTATGAATAAAGTAAAAAGTAGCGGCCCCAATTGACTCCCTTGTGGGACACCCGAGGTAACCTGGAGTGTACAAGAAAGAGAATTTTTAAAAAGTACCCTTTGCGTTCTGCCTTTTAAATAATTTGAGATCCATCTCAAAAGATCAACTGGGAACCCAATTAAATCGAGTTTTCTAACCAGAAGTAGGTGGTTTACGGAGTCAAATGCTTTACTAAAGTCAGTGTAGATTACGTCTGTTTGAAAATTGTTTTTGAATGAAGTGAGCTCCAAAAGGTTAGTAATTGTTGATCTACGTTTCATAAAACCATGTTGACATGGAGATATAACTGACCTACATTGGTGCTGCAAATGAAGTGTAATAATATTTTCAACAAGAAAGGAAGCTAGCTTCGGCCAGCCGAAGCTTATATACCTCTGCAAGGGTATATACAATTCGCAAAAATGTTCAATTTTCTAATATTTCTCATTAATTTTCCGATCGTTCCTATGGCAGCTATATGATATAGTCGTCCGATTCTGATCAAATTAAAATTGAAATTTGGAAATATTTAAAAAGAGTCATATCCTAAAGTAGAAGATAATACAATAAAAAGCAAAAAAGCTAGAATTTATTTCCTATTACTTTTCCATAAATTTTCCGATCGTTCCTATGGCAGCTATATGATATAGTAGTCCGAATTTTTAAATATTTAATTCGAAATTCAGAAATATTTAAAAATTAACATCCCCAAAAGTAGAAGGTAATATTTCAAAAAACACCGAAGCTAGAATTTTTTTAACGTTTTCTTTTCCGATCCTTCCTATGGGAGCTATAGGATATAGTTGTCCGATCCGGTCGGTTCCGACATATATACTACCTGCAATAGAAAGAAGACTTTTGGGAAAGTTTCATCCCGATAGCTCAAAAACTGAGAGTCTAGTTTGCGTAGAAACGGACGAACAGCATCGTCTAGTGATGCTGATCAAGAATATATATACTTTATGGGGTCGGAAACGTCTCCTTCACTGCGTTGCAAACTTCTGACTGAAATCATAATACCCTCTGCAAGGGTATAAAAAGCTTCGGGATAGCTGACAATTTAGATATGCCTCTATAATTGTTTGCTTCCAATTTATTACCTATCTGTTAAGGATTCTCTGCAACACAAGGACATCGAAATACATGCATGGTGTGATTCAACCATAGTTTTGGCTTGGCTTTCGCATCCACCATCGAAGCTCAAAACATTTGTAGCAAAAAGACTTCAGAAATATTCGACGCGTTGCCGCGTAGTGCATGGCATCATGTAAACACGAAGGAGAATCCGGCAGACTGCGCCACACGAGGGATGCTGGCTGCAGACCTTCTCCATTTCGGCTTATGGTGGATGGGACCTTCATGGCTGCAAGATCCAGAAAAGCTTGCGGTAAAGTTGAGCTGCACAAAAATCTGTTCTTCCCTTTCAGATAACCATGGCAAAAAAGAAGTCAAGTACACCGCATTAACCACTCAGCAAGGTGACTCATTTTCACCGATCGAAGCGTTGACTCAGCGGGTCTCGTCCTGCACAAAATTGGTCCACGTTGTAGCTTACGCATTACGCTTCATACAAAGGACCAGGACCATTAAACTTGAAGCGCTGACAAATGGGGCCAGGCTCACCTTGGAAGAGATTCAGGCTGCTCGCATACTTTGCCTGCGTGAGGCTCAGAAATGCTTCATGGATGATCGAAATCTTCTGACGGAAAACAAACCACTTCGCAGCCGCTCCCAGTTGATCAAGCTTTCACCGTTTGTCTGCAAGGATGGCCTCCTTCGAGTTGAAGGACGCTTGGCCAACTCGCAGTTACCAGCTGACGTCAAACACCCCATATTGCTTCCGAAATCTCACCGCATTACAAGGATGATTTTGGAACACGAACATACCGCAAATCTACATCCAGGGGTGTCTGCTCTGTTTGTATTTACGCGTCAAAAGTATTGGATTTTCGGTGCGCGTAACCTAATAAGAAACCTGGTACACAACTGCGTAAAGTGCGACCAATTCATGGCCGATCTACCAAGGATTCGTATAACGGAGGTTCTTCCCTTCCAGCACTCAGGCTGCGACTACGCTGGACCATTCATCCTCAAGGAAAGGAGAGGGCGCAATCCCAGAAAAACTAAAAGCTACATATGTCTCTTCGTCTGCCTTGTAACATCAGCCATTCATTTGGAACTGGCCACCGACCTTAGCACATTATCTATTACATCTGAGACGCGTCGTGGGAAAAACGGTTCTAACCTTCGAACAGATGCAAACTCTGATTGTTCAGATCAGTGCGGTGGTGAACTCAAGACCGTTATGCTACACACCTGACACTGACATCACCTACTTGTCTCCGGGCCATTTTTTAATTGGCCGCCCATTTACAACGGTTCCAGAGGGTGATCTGACTCATTTTCCGATCAATCGCTTAGACTACTGGCAGCATTTACAATCAATGTACCAGGGTTTTTGGAAGCGCTGGCACCAGGAAAATCTAACATCGCTGCAGCAACGTCAAAAGTGGAACAACATGGAACGTAACATCGCTGTAGGTAGTGTAGTCCTTGTAAAGGACTCAAATCTCCCTCCAGCATCTTGGATACTAGCCCGCGTATTGGAGGCTCATCAGGGACCAGATGGACTTGTACGCGCTGTGAAACTTAAGACGTCTACTGGAGAGATGACGCGACCTATCACTAAGTTAGCTGTGCTGCCTAATTCAGAAACCATGTTTCAGGGCGGCCCGGGATGTTGATGAACGGATTGCATCCATAATTTGAATTTAAATTTTTGTTAACTGGTCATGTGAAATACCAGCTTCGCCCATTTTTAGTATTTTTAGGTATCTTCTGTGCTGCGTGACACGATGAGATTTTTTCGTTTTCTAAGTTAAGTAATGAGACTACAGAGGAACATGTCGGCTCAATAAAGTTTAACTCAAAATATACAGTCCATTCAAATACGAAAAAAACCTTGTTTATTCATCACCAAGACCTATAAACTTAGAAAGTATAACACAGGCCGACAAAATGTGACATGGGTCGGTGTCCAGGCCTGCC